GGGTCGTTTCCTACTGGTACCCAGTGGAGCCTCCGGCGGCCAGTCTACGGTCTCCGCCAGGCGCCACGTGAGTGGCACGACACACTGAGGACTACGCTTGCGGCTCTTGGGTTTGCTCCTTCCACTGCTGACCCGTCGCTGTTTCTTCGCACCGACACTTTGCTGCCGCCGTTCTACATCCTCGTGTACGTCGACGACTTGGTGTTTGCTACAGCTGACACTGCTAGACTCGCCCACGTGAAGTCCGAGCTGCAGAAGAGACACACGTGCACAGACCTGGGTGAACTGCGCAGCTATCTTGGCTTGCAGATCACCCGGGACAGAGCACGGCGCACCATTACTCTGACTCAGTCACACATGGTGCAGCAGGTCCTTCAGCGCTTCGACTTCACGTACTCCTCGCCTCAGGCCACTCCTCTGTCTACTCGCCACTCGCTCTCAGCTCTGCCTTCGGATGAGTCCGTAGAGCCAAGTGGCCCGTACCCAGAGCTTGTTGGCTGCCTCATGTACCTGATGACCTGCACTCGACCTGACCTAGCATACCCTCTGAGCATCTTGGCACGCTATGTTGCTCCTGGGAGACACCAACCAGAGCACATGGCTGCAGCGAAGAGGGTGTTGCGCTACTTGTGCAGTACTTCGGGCTTGGGGCTAGTGCTTGGAGGGCGGAGTCCAGTGGTCCTCACTGGTCACGCAGACGCGTCTTGGGTTGACGACCTGGCTACTCAGCGGTCGTCACAGGGTTACACCTTCAGCCTTGGTTACGGCTCTGTTTCGTGGCGATCTACTCGCTCGTCTTCTGTTCTCAGCTCCAGCTGTGAGGCTGAGATCTACGCAGGGGCCATGGCTGCACAGGAGTTACACTGGCTCACCTACTTGCTGACTGACCTGGGAGAGCCGCCTCGTTCTCCTCCAGTTCTGTACGTAGACAACAAGGCTATGCTGGCCTTGTGTCGGGAGCACAGACTGGAGCACAGAACGAAGCACATTGCTCTTCGCTACTTCCTTGCTCGTGAGCTGCAGCAGCGTGGTCAGCTGCGCCTTGCTTACGTGGCCTCTCAGGCCAACACTGCTGATATCTTTACCAAGGCACTTCAGCCTTGTGATCATCAGCGCTTCTGTACTATGCTAGGTCTTGTGCCTACTTGGCCTCACTTGCTTACCTCTTGACTTTCCTTGTACTGTGATCTATATATACCTGCACTTGCTTGTTTGTTTACCTTTATATATGAACTTGCATGTGAACTGGCCTTGTGGCCTTTGAACCGGTGCTCAGACTGTGTGGTGACGTTGTGATCCACCCTGAGCTTGCTTTGCTTTGCTTTGCTTGACTGGTCTTGTGACCCCTCGTTCTCCCCCACTTTGCCTATGGGGGTGTGTCAAATGTATATGCCTTAGCCTATATAGGCTGTAGTGGGGTAGTTCCTAGAGGGTACAACACTTTTGTGTTCTCTATTTGTACCCACCTCATTTCTAGTTCAATCATTCCTGTTTAATTCTTCACACTCTACACTATTTTGTTGCAACACCAACAGTCGGGCTGATCTTCAACACAGGAAAACCGACCGACAAAATGTACCTCAGCGGATATGTCGACGCAGACCACGCTGGTGACACGTCAGATCGCCGGTCACGAACAGGTTACATTTTTCGTCTCGAGCCAATTGGCCCAATTTCATGGAACTCATCAAAACAGGAACTGGTGTCACTTTCCTCGGCTGAAGCAGAATTCATTGCCGCGTGTGGTGCAACCCGAGAAGGACTATACTTACAGGAACTGCTCGACGAAGCAAAGTTCGTCACGCCGAATCAGTTTACGTTGCAGTGCGACAACCAAAGTGCGATTACCATCGCCAACAAACCTGGCTTCGTCAATCGCACGAAACACATCTCACTGCGTTACTTCTTCGTCAAGGACGCGATCGACAAGGGGAGAATGCGTCTTGTCTACTGCTCCACTAATGACATGGCAGCTGATTCACTTACCAAGAAGCTGACACGACAGAAGTTCCATCACTGCAACCAGTTCAGCGGCGTTTCTGAGACAACCGCTTAAACTACACCGAACTCCTAGAAGTGAAGGGGAGTGTTGAGATAATATCGAGACGTAAAGCACTTCAAGGAAATTCGTGTAGTACAGTAAAGTACCGATAGGCTGACGTCAGCAAAGCGCTACGCGACCTAGGATGACGTCAGCACGTAGCTATAGACTTCGCGAATAGTTACGTACCGTTTCAAGATAAGAATAGCACAGTACAGTAGGCGAACAGGTACTTTACTCTAGCTATATATTTTGTATGTTTGTCATTTTATAATATATCTGATTTCAGAGACATTTTGAACCTGAAACATATCACTACATAGACTTTATTAAGTCTAGAGAAAGCCTTCACAACTGGCTTAACTCATATAAGACTTCCGCTACGACAGGAAGTTACCATCCTAAGTAGTACCCTGACGGGCACAGGATCCTAAACTAGGTGATACCATGTCAAGAATGAAAGCGTTGATTTGACTAAGGTTGGCTGAGGTACATAAACCTAACCCTAACAGTTGTACCCCCTATAACACACATCACTAAGACTCACATTTGACAGGTTCGCCGGCCTAAGAACTACCGTAGGTTATATACTTCGTGAATGTTGTGACATGGTGAACGAGGGCTGAAACTGCCGGCAAGTGAGACGAAATCGGGAAGGTTGGGTCGGGTGGGGAAAAAGTGCTCATTGTACTGAGACCGGAGCTTTCTGAAGGTTTCTCTAAGTTGGTTCCAGGCTTGAAACGCGACGCGACCTAGGAGAGTCCAGCCACTGAGGCCAAAGCGGTACACCAGCAGCACATCCCATTCCAAATTACCTAAAATTAGTAATCTGTGTTAACACAACACAAAGGAAAGAGAGAACAAACTCTGACTTGATATCACTCACAACACCAATTACAGCAAATAACCGCACAGAAACAGTCAGGGGTAGGAAGACTGGCAAGTCACTTGGTGTCCCTTAATGCCTTGCCAGCATTCCTGCCCCTGATGCTTTGGCCTATTAGAGCTACTGGATCACGAACCAGAGACCAAACCTATCCAGACACACATGGCTCAGAAGCCCTCGAGCCCATCACAACCACAACTGCAGCCTGCACGGCTGGGTTCAAACCCCCAAACCCAGCAGCAGGGCAGAGGAGCATCAAGCAGCAGCGGCGGGCGTCTTGGCGCCCATGAGCTGCCCGCCCCACGTCACACCTGCTGCGCTGCTGCCCGCCAGCACAGCATACCCGCTCACTGCAGGCGCCTGCTGCGCTCCCCCCTGCTGCTGCCCCCCCTGCTGCTGACCCCCCTGCTGCTGCTGCCCCCCCTGCTTCTGTCCCCCCTGCCTGGCAGCGCGGCCGAATGCGCCCATCAGCAGCTCACGCCCCATGCGCCTCCCGCCCTGCCCGTTCCGTGCGCCCCCCGCGCTGCCTCCGCCGTTGCGCCCGCCGCCGCTGGTGGGCGGAGGCGAGGCGGTGGGGAGCACGGCGAGCAGCGCGTCGAGGGTGGCGGCGTCCGCGTTCTCGAGGAACGCGTCGAGGCGCGCCTCCGCGTGCAGCAGCCACCACCCCGCGTGCTGCTGCCAGTCCGCCGCGGCGAGCGGCAGCGCGAGCACGTCCGTTGCGGCGGCGTCGCACACGACGCCCTTCACGATCGCCAGCGAGTCGGGCGGACCGCCCGCCGCGTCCACCAGCAGCGCCTCGACGAGCAGATTGTAGTTTCCGGTGGAGTTCTTGAAGACGGCGAGGTGGAAGCTGCCGTTGAGGGTCTTCTGATCCACGTTGCAGTTGGCGAGTTGCGCGCCGATATCGGCCGTCAGATTTCCGACGGCCGTCAGGTTCAGCGGAGGGCCGCGCGGTCCGCCAGGCCCGCCGGGACCGTCGCGGTCGCCGGGACCGCCGGGACCGCCGGGACCGCCGGGACCGCCAGAACCGGCGCCAGGGCCTCCGCGCTGACTGCCGGGAGGACCTCCGCCAGGCGGACCACGCTGCGCCAAGGCGGACGTCGACACGAGGAGGAGCACGCACGCGAGGACGAGTGCTTTGTCTGCCGCCATTTATGGTATCGTGCTTACAGATTATCAAAACGATTTAGCGATGGTTGATTTCCTGCTCCTGGATTCTAGTATAGTGGTTGAGGATGGGATGTGAATTACTGGTGTGAGTGAATGCCGGGAGAGTTGCTGACCACTTATACCAGCATCAAACTACTGGGAGCTTTGTTTACAAGGAAAATGGGAGACTTGAGTCCAACAAGTGGGAACCTGGGCTTCAGGTCTGGGTCTACGTCCGCTCTGGCTTTTCGCTGGACCTGGAAGGTTGGTGTAGGAGGTTCGGCAGCTTCCATGCCGTACGCTGAGGTTCGAGTGTTCAACCTCGCCGACAGGGAGTTGAAAATGGGCGACAAAATCCCACGCGTGTCAATGCATGGGAGAAGTGAACAGTAATGCGGGAAATGTGCCGCAGATTGGCTGCTGCGGTATGGAGTACAGCACTTGTGGCCCGATGTTGGAGTATGCACAGGCGCTCTTATAATGGACTCTGTTGATTTCTTCAACAGGTTTTAACCAAGCTCGAAGGGAGAGTACCAGTTCATCGAGATGGTTGTTGTACAAACGCGAAGATATTTTTGGAAGATCCTGTAACGCGGACAGGCATCCAGCCTCCGTCCTCGAGTGTTTTTCCTGCCAATTTACGCTAGAACTGTAAGGCAGTTGCTAGTTCACCCCCACTTCACGTATTAGGGTTACGACCAAGTTTCAAGCATTAGTGCGAGCTTCGGCGAGGCAGGAGAAAGGTGCTCGACGGTCGTTCCTGACTACACCATTGTCCGCCCCGTCACGCTTTGACCTTCTGTTTCGCGTTGACTGACCGTCTCACGACCGTCTGTTTACTTTTACCGCATTGACTGCATATCCGCTGGTCTCGTTAAGGCTTCATTATAAAGGACAATAAGTAATTGTAACGAGACGCGCGATATGTCGCAAGCGCGGATATACGCGGACGTGAACGTGCAGCGGCCCAAGGAGTATTGGGACTACGAGGCGCTCACCGTGCAGTGGGGGTACGTCAACGCTTGCGCACGCTTGCGCAATGAGAGCCGTTTCGCCCCCGTTTTTGAGTGCGGACTTTATTATTTTCCTGTCAATGAAAGTGTTGGGACTACGAGACGCTCACCGTGCAGTGGGAGTACGTCAACGGCTGCGCAAAGAGATTTGATTGTCCCGCCATTTTTGCTGCGGACTTTATGATATTACCTTCGTGTCACGTCTCACGCTCCAATCCAGGCCTGATGCTAGTGAGACGTTTTACGGTCGACGCGCGCCTAAATTTATGTTTTTTTTCACAATTTGTATCAGCCATTTCCGTCCTCCGCCCCCCCCAGTTTTTTTGTTTTGTTTTTGTTTTTGTTTTTTTTTTCCTTTTCACATGCATTCTACATGTACAATCAGTTAGACACGGGAAAAAAACGATCAGAACCACTACCCTTACTTCCCCTCCCCCGCTTCTTCCCCTCTCCCTTTCAAAGTCCTTTCGCGTCCCTCCCTCAAAACTCCCAGCGGCCAGGGCGACTATGAGGTGGTGAGCAGTTTGGGCTCTCCTCTTCCATAATATTCTGTCTCGCCCTTTTGAAAGTTTCCAAAGTGACGCAAGCAAAGATTCTCAGCGTCCCGCGCAGATGAGGCGGAAAATGGCTCTTCTTATTCATCTCCTGTCTCCTCATCCCCCCTTCAACCGTTTCACTTCTCCCCCCCTTTTTCTCCCCCACTCCTACCCATTTCCCCCTCAACACCCCCTTCTCCCTACCACTCTTTCCCATCCAACCCTGACCTTCCCTCCTCCAAATCCCCAGAGACCAGGACGACTACGAGGTGGTGCGCAAGGTGGGGCGCGGGAAGTACAGCGAGGTGTTTGAGAGGGTCAACGCGGTCAACGCCCTCTTCTCGTCCCCTTTCCTCCCCCCTTCTCTCCCCCTTTCACCACAGGGACCAGGACGACTACGAGGTGGTGCGCAAGGTGGGGCGCGGCAAGTACAGCGAGGTGTTTGAGAGGGTCAACGCGGTCAACGCCCTCTTCTCGTCGCCCCTTCCTCCCCCCTTCTCCCCCCCTTTCACCACAGGGACCAGGACGATTACGAGGTGGTGCGCAAGGTGGGGCGGGGCAAGTACAGCGAGGTGTTTGAAGGGGTCAACGCGGTCAACAGCGAGAAGTGCATCATCAAGATTCTCAAACCCGTCAAGAAGAAGAAGGTAAGTTGACTGATGGGTCAACGCGGCGGTCAACGCGGTCAACGCGGTTAACAAGGTCAACGCGGTCAAGAGCGAGAAGTGCATCATCAAGATCCTCAAACCCGTCAAGAAGAAAAAGGTGAGAGTGGACTGACGGGGTCAAGGGGGGTCAACGCGGTCAACAGGGCCATCCCGCGTCCCCCACCCCTCCTCCAGTGCAACACCCACACACACATTAGATCAAGCGGGAGATTAAGATTCTGTAGAACCTGTGCAGGGGGTCCAACATCATCCGCCTGGTGGACATAACCTGCCCTCCCCCATCCCCCATCCCCCATCCCCATCCCCCATCCCCCATACCCCCACTCCTCCCATCCCGATCCCCTCATCCCCCATCCTTTCCCATGTGCGACACACACCAGACCAAAACGGTTGCAGAACCTGTGTGGTGGTGGGCCCAACATCTCCCCCTGCTGGACATCGTGCGCAACCCTTCCTCCTCGTACCCCCCCCCACATAACCTGTTTCATTCGCCCCTCTTCCCCTTCCCTCACCATCAGATCAAGCGGGAAATTAAGATTCTGCAGAACCTGTGCGGTGGGCCCAACATCATCCGCCTGCTTGACATCACCCGCCCTCCCTCATCCCACATCCCATCCTCCATTCCTCCCCGTATGCAACACACATCAGATCAAGCGAGAAATTAAGATTCTGCAGAACCTGTGTGGCGGGCCCAACATCATCCGCCTGCTTGACATCGTGCGCGACCCGCAGAGCAAGACGCCGTCGCTCATCTTTGAGTTTGTCAACAACACCGACTTCAAAGTGCTCTACCCCACGCTCTCCGACTACGATATCCGCTACTACATCTACGAGCTGCTCAAGGTGCGCTTGTGGGGCTGTAGGCGTGACTGGAGGGGCACTGGAGGGGCACTGGAGGGGCACTGGAGGGGCACTGGAAGGGCGTGTGACCATGTGCTTGTGTGGAAGGGCGTGTGACCATGTGCTTGTGTGGAAGGGCGTGTGACCATGTGCTTGTGTGGAAGGGCGTGTGACCATGTGCTTGTGTGGAAGGGCGTGTGACCATGTGCTTGTGTGGAAGGGCGTGTGACCATGTGCTTGTGTGGAAGGGCGTGTGACCATGTGCTTGTGTGGAAGGGCGTGTGACCATGTGCTTGTGTGGAAGGGCGTGTGACCATGTGCTTGTGTGGAAGGGCGTGTGACCATGTGCTTGTGTGGAAGGGCGTGTGACCATGTGCTTGTGTGGAAGGGCGTGTGACCATGTGCTTGTGTGGAAGGGCGTGTGACCATGTGCTTGTGTGGAGGGGCGTGTGACCATGTGCTTGTGTGGAGGGGCGTGTGACCATGTGCTTGTGTGGAGGGGCGTGTGACCATGTGCTTGTGTGGAGGGGCGTGTGACCATGTGCTTGTGTGGAGGGGCGTGTGACCATGTGCTTGTGTGGAAGGGGCGTGTGACCATGTGCTTGTGTGGAAGGGCGTGTGACCATGTGCTTGTGTGGAAGGGCGTGTGACCATGTGCTTGTGTGGAAGGGCGTGTGACCATGTGCTTGTGTGGAAGGGCGTGTGACCATGTGCTTGTGTGGAAGGGCGTGTGACCATGTGCTTGTGTGGAAGGGCGTGTGACCATGTGCTTGTGTGGAAGGGCGTGTGACCATGTGCTTGTGTGGAAGGGCGTGTGACCATGTGCTTGTGTGGAAGGGCGTGTGACCATGTGCTTGTGTGGAAGGGCGTGTGACCATGTGCTTGTGTGGAAGGGCGTGTGACCATGTGCTTGTGTGGAAGGGCGTGTGACCATGTGCTTGTGTGGAAGGGCGTGTGACCATGTGCTTGTGTGGAGGGGCGTGTGACCATGTGCTTGTGTGGAGGGGCGTGTGACCATGTGCTTGTGTGGAGGGGCGTGTGACCATGTGCTTGTGTGGAAGGGCGTGTGACCATGTGCTTGTGTGGAAGGGCGTGTGACCATGTGCTTGTGTGGAAGGGCGTGTGACCATGTGCTTGTGTGGAAGGGCGTGTGACCATGTGCTTGTGTGGAAGGGCGTGTGACCATGTGCTTGTGTGGAAGGGCGTGTGACCATGTGCTTGTGTGGAAGGGCGTGTGACCATGTGCTTGTGTGGAAGGGCGTGTGACCATGTGCTTGTGTGGAAGGGCGTGTGACCATGTGCTTGTGTGGAAGGGCGTGTGACCATGTGCTTGTGTGGAAGGGCGTGTGACCATGTGCTTGTGTGGAAGGGCGTGTGACCATGTGCTTGTGTGGAAGGGCGTGTGACCATGTGCTTGTGTGGAGGGGCGTGTGACCATGTGCTTGTGTGGAGGGGCGTGTGACCATGTGCTTGTGTGGAAGGGCGTGTGACCATGTGCTTGTGTGGAAGGGCGTGTGACCATGTGCTTGTGTGGAAGGGCGTGTGACCATGTGCTTGTGTGGAAGGGCGTGTGACCATGTGCTTGTGTGGAAGGGCGTGTGACCATGTGCTTGTGTGGAAGGGCGTGTGACCATGTGCTTGTGTGGAAGGGCGTGTGACCATGTGCTTGTGTGGAAGGGGCGTGTGACCATGTGCTTGTGTGGAGGGGCGTGTGACCATGTGCTTGTGTGGAGGGGCGTGTGACCATGTGCTTGTGTGGAGGGGCGTGTGACCATGTGCTTGTGTGGAAGGGCGTGTGACCATGTGCTTGTGTGGAAGGGCGTGTGACCATGTGCTTGTGTGGAAGGGCGTGTGACCATGTGCTTGTGTGGAAGGGCGTGTGACCATGTGCTTGTGTGGAAGGGCGTGTGACCATGTGCTTGTGTGGAAGGGGGTGTGACCATGTGCTTGTGTGGAAGGGCGTGTGACCATGTGCTTGTGTGGAAGGGCGTGTGACCATGTGCTTGTGTGGAAGGGCGTGTGACCATGTGCTTGTGTGGAAGGGCGTGTGACCATGTGCTTGTGTGGAAGGGCGTGTGACCATGTGCTTGTGTGGAAGGGCGTGTGACCATGTGCTTGTGTGGAAGGGCGTGTGACCATGTGCTTGTGTGGAAGGGCGTGTGACCATGTGCTTGTGTGGAAGGGCGTGTGACCATGTGCTTGTGTGGAGGGGCGTGTGACCATGTGCTTGTGTGGAGGGGCGTGTGACCATGTGCTTGTGTGGAGGGGCGTGTGACCATGTGCTTGTGTGGAAGGGCGTGTGACCATGTGCTTGTGTGGAAGGGCGTGTGACCATGTGCTTGTGTGGAAGGGCGTGTGACCATGTGCTTGTGTGGAAGGGCGTGTGACCATGTGCTTGTGTGGAAGGGCGTGTGACCATGTGCTTGTGTGGAGGGGCGTGTGACCATGTGCTTGTGTGGAAGGGCGTGTGACCATGTGCTTGTGTGGAAGGGCGTGTGACCATGTGCTTGTGTGGAAGGGCGTGTGACCATGTGCTTGTGTGGAAGGGCGTGTGACCATGTGCTTGTGTGGAAGGGCGTGTGACCATGTGCTTGTGTGGAAGGGCGTGTGACCATGTGCTTGTGTGGAAGGGCGTGTGACCATGTGCTTGTGTGGAAGGGCGTGTGACCATGTGCTTGTGTGGAAGGGCGTGTGACCATGTGCTTGTGTGGAGGGGCGTGTGACCATGTGCTTGTGTGGAGGGGCGTGTGACCATGTGCTTGTGTGGAGGGGCGTGTGACCATGTGCTTGTGTGGAAGGGCGTGTGACCATGTGCTTGTGTGGAAGGGCGTGTGACCATGTGCTTGTGTGGAAGGGCGTGTGACCATGTGCTTGTGTGGAAGGGCGTGTGACCATGTGCTTGTGTGGAAGGGCGTGTGACCATGTGCTTGTGTGGAAGGGCGTGTGACCATGTGCTTGTGTGGAAGGGCGTGTGACCATGTGCTTGTGTGGAAGGGCGTGTGACCATGTGCTTGTGTGGAAGGGCGTGTGACCATGTGCTTGTGTGGAAGGGCGTGTGACCATGTGCTTGTGTGGAAGGGCGTGTGACCATGTGCTTGTGTGGAAGGGCGTGTGACCATGTGCTTGTGTGGAAGGGCGTGTGACCATGTGCTTGTGTGGAAGGGCGTGTGACCATGTGCTTGTGTGGAAGGGCGTGTGACCATGTGCTTGTGTGGAGGGGCGTGTGACCATGTGCTTGTGTGGAGGGGCGTGTGACCATGTGCTTGTGTGGAGGGGCGTGTGACCATGTGCTTGTGTGGAAGGGGCGTGTGACCATGTGCTTGTGTGGAAGGGCGTGTGACCATGTGCTTGTGTGGAAGGGCGTGTGACCATGTGCTTGTGTGGAAGGGCGTGTGACCATGTGCTTGTGTGGAAGGGCGTGTGACCATGTGCTTGTGTGGAAGGGCGTGTGACCATGTGCTTGTGTGGAAGGGCGTGTGACCATGTGCTTGTGTGGAAGGGCGTGTGACCATGTGCTTGTGTGGAAGGGCGTGTGACCATGTGCTTGTGTGGAAGGGCGTGTGACCATGTGCTTGTGTGGAAGGGCGTGTGACCATGTGCTTGTGTGGAAGGGCGTGTGACCATGTGCTTGTGTGGAAGGGCGTGTGACCATGTGCTTGTGTGGAAGGGCGTGTGACCATGTGCTTGTGTGGAAGGGCGTGTGACCATGTGCTTGTGTGGAAGGGCGTGTGACCATGTGCTTGTGTGGAAGGGCGTGTGACCATGTGCTTGTGTGGAGGGGCGTGTGACCATGTGCTTGTGTGGAGGGGCGTGTGACCATGTGCTTGTGTGGAAGGGCGTGTGACCATGTGCTTGTGTGGAAGGGCGTGTGACCATGTGCTTGTGTGGAAGGGCGTGTGACCATGTGCTTGTGTGGAAGGGCGTGTGACCATGTGCTTGTGTGGAAGGGCGTGTGACCATGTGCTTGTGTGGAAGGGCGTGTGACCATGTGCTTGTGTGGAAGGGCGTGTGACCATGTGCTTGTGTGGAAGGGCGTGTGACCATGTGCTTGTGTGGAAGGGCGTGTGACCATGTGCTTGTGTGGAAGGGCGTGTGACCATGTGCTTGTGTGGAAGGGCGTGTGACCATGTGCTTGTGTGGAAGGGCGTGTGACCATGTGCTTGTGTGGAAGGGCGTGTGACCATGTGCTTGTGTGGAAGGGCGTGTGACCATGTGCTTGTGTGGAAGGGCGTGTGACCATGTGCTTGTGTGGAAGGGCGTGTGACCATGTGCTTGTGTGGAGGGGCGTGTGACCATGTGCTTGTGTGGAGGGGCGTGTGACCATGTGCTTGTGTGGAAGGGCGTGTGACCATGTGCTTGTGTGGAAGGGCGTGTGACCATGTGCTTGTGTGGAAGGGCGTGTGACCATGTGCTTGTGTGGAAGGGCGTGTGACCATGTGCTTGTGTGGAGGGGCGTGTGACCATGTGCTTGTGTGGAAGGGCGTGTGACCATGTGCTTGTGTGGAAGGGCGTGTGACCATGTGCTTGTGTGGAAGGGCGTGTGACCATGTGCTTGTGTGGAAGGGCGTGTGACCATGTGCTTGTGTGGAAGGGCGTGTGACCATGTGCTTGTGTGGAAGGGCGTGTGACCATGTGCTTGTGTGGAAGGGCGTGTGACCATGTGCTTGTGTGGAGGGGCGTGTGACCATGTGCTTGTGTGGAGGGGCGTGTGACCATGTGCTTGTGTGGAGGGGCGTGTGACCATGTGCTTGTGTGGAAGGGCGTGTGACCATGTGCTTGTGTGGAGGGGCGTGTGACCATGTGCTTGTGTGGAGGGGCGTGTGACCATGTGCTTGTGTGGAGGGGCGTGTGACCATGTGCTTGTGGCTGCCTCACCTTGCCCTTCATTCCCTGTGTTCCCTTCCGAACCTGCCCCGCCAGGCTCATGAATTCTGCCACCCAAGCGAATCATTCATCAGGATGTGAAGCTTTTCCTTTCAACCCTCAAGTTCCCTTCTCTTCCCTTCCCATGCGTGCACCCCACCAGGCGTTGGACTTCTGTCACTCACAGGGCATCATGCATCGGGACGTCAAGCCACACAACGTGATGATCGACCACGAGCAGAGGAAGCTGCGCCTCATTGACTGGGGCCTCGCCGAGTTCTACCACCCCAACAAGGAATATAATGTCCGCGTGGCGTCCAGGTCAGTCAGTTGTGCTACAACAGCGTGGCAGTGCCTGCTCTGTTCTTGGGTTGGGTGCCTGAAGGCATGAGCAGACGAAGCTGCGCCTCATTGTCTGGGGCCTGGCGGAGTTCTACCATCCCAACAAGGAATACAACGTTCGGGTGGCGTCCAGGTCAGTCAGTTATGCGACACGGTACGCACGCTGTACCGCGTGCACACATGTGATGCACCTTGGAATGCACCTTGGAATGCCTAGACGCATGTGACTGGGGCTGGCGGAATTCTACCACCCCAACAAGGAGTACAGTGTGCGCGTGGTGTCCAGGTGCGCTGTATGGCGGGCAGGAACGTGACGCATCGTGAAGGTGTTTGCGTCTCTTCGTGCTCCCCTCCCCTGCCCTCCCCTCCCCTCCCCTCTTCTCCCCTCCCCTCCCTATCCCTGCAGGTACTTCAAGGGTCCCGAGCTGCTAGTGGACCTGCAGGACTATGACTACTCGCTTGACATGTAGCGTTCTCAGCTCAGCACCACCATTTCTGTGCCTTTCTGGTGATCCCCTGGCTGGCTCTGCAGGTACTTCAAGGGTCCCGAGCTGCTAGTGGACCTGCAGGACTATGACTACTCGCTCGACATGTGGAGTCTTGGGTGCATGTTCGCTGGCATGGTGGGTGTGGGGGGCCTGATGGGTGTGGGTGAAGGTGGGTGTGGTGTGCGGGCATGGTGGGTGTGGGTGCATGGTGGGTGGGGGTGCGGTGCATGCATGGTGAGTGGGGGTGCATGCATGGTGAGTGGGGGTGCATGGTGGGTGTGGGTTCGTCGTGGGTGTGGGTGCAGTGCATGGTGCGTCGTGAGTGCCTGCTAGGCTGGTAGGAGTATACCAACTGTTGTCTGAGTGGGTCTGTATAAACCAGCAATTTTTCTCTTCCTTTTCCCCTCCCCACCCCATCGCCCCCTCCCCTCTCATTTCCCACTGCCCAAGGATGGCCGTCCCTGCCCTTGTCCCTCCCACCCTTATCCCTCCCGCCCTTGCCCCCCCCGCCCTTGCCCCCCCCGCCCTTGCCCCTCCCACCCTTGCCCCCCCCGCCCTTGCCCCCCCCGCCCTTGCCCCTCCCACCCTTGCCCCCCCCGCCCTTGCCCTGTGCATGTGCTGCTCACATACTCCGTAATGAGCTCCTGTTGGTGCCCACTGCTCATCATCATCTCCCCCACCACATCCCATCCCCCATCTCCCTGTTCCCACTGCCCCTGCCCATCACTTCTCTCCCCGTGCCCTCTGCCCCCTCCCTGCCCCGTGCCCCATGCCCTGTGCGTGCTGGCAGATATTCCGCAAAGAGCCCTTCTTCTATGGCCACGACAACTACGACCAGCTTGTCAAAATCGCCAAGGTGCGTGCACACGGTGGGCCGCCTGTGGGCCGGCTGTTGGTCGGCTGTTGGCCGACGTGTTGACATTGCGCCTCCAGGTCGAATATCTTGGTGCCTCAGAAAGCAGGGGCGTCTTTGTGCTAGCTGTGTGACCGTGACTGACTGACTTAGACTGACTGTGACTGGGACTGTGATGTGAGGGTGACTGTGATTCTGACTCTGACTGTGTCTCTGACTGTGACTGTGGGAGGGGCCAGGCAAGGCACTGTGAATGCTCCACATTGCATGCACAATGGGGCAAGGCCTGGCAGTCCGACCTGCTTCTCCTGGTTGATCATCACCGGGATGATCATTCTTGGCTATTCAATTTGCCACCGTCCAAGCTGTGAGCTGTGAGCATCAACGCGGCCTGTGAGGAAGCTGTTTCGTACTGAGTCTCGGTGACACGACTGGCGTGGCAGGAAGCCAGTGCCCCGCCTGTGCAATCCGTATGCGTCTCGTCTCACCACCGCCCTCTTCCCCAATCCCAATCTTTTCACTTTGCCGCGTCTCATCGCGGCACTCTCAGGTGCCGGGAACGGACGAGCTGAACAGCTATCTGGGCAAGTACAGCATCATACTGGACCCACACCTTAACACACCCCTCACTCACTCCTTGGCTCACTGCCTATAATCCCTCTACCCCATTCCTATCAGGTGGGGGAACCGATGAGCTGGATATCTACCTGCCCAACTACAGCATCATGCCGCACCCACACCTTTGCACCCCTCACTCCTATCACACACTGCCCTCTGCCCCACTGCCCTTTGCCCCACTGCCCTCTGCCACACTGCCCTCTGCCCCACTGCCCTCTGCCCCACTGCCCTCTGCCCCACTGCCCTCTGCCCCACTGCCCTCTGCCCCACTGCCCTCTGCCCCACTGCCCTCTGCCCCACTGCCCTCTGCCCCACTGCCCTCTGCCCCACTGCCCTCTGCCCACTGCCCTCTGCCCCACTGCCCTCTGCCCCACTGCCCTCTGCCCCACTGCCCTCTGCCCCACTGCCCTCTGCCCCACTGCCCTCTGCCCCACTGCCCTCTGCCCCACTGCCCTCTGCCCCACTGCCCTCTGCCCCACTGCCCTCTGCCCCACTGCCCTCTGCCCCACTGCCCTCTGCCCCACTGCCCTCTGCCCCACCGCCCTCTGCCCCACTGCCCTCTGCCCCACTGCCCTCTGCCCCACTGCCCTCTGCCCTACTGCCCTCTGCCCCACTGCCCTCTGCCCCACTGCCCTCTGCCCCACTGCCCTCTGCCCCACTGCCCTCTGCCCCACTGCCCTCTGCCCCACTGCCCTCTGCCCCACTGCCCTCTGCCCCACTGCCCTCTGCCCCACTGCCCTCTGCCCCACTGCCCTCTGCCCCACCGCCCTCTGCCCCACTGCCCTCTGCCCCACTGCCCTCTGCCCCACTGCCCTCTGCCCACTGCCCTCTGCCCCACTGCCCTCTGCCCCACTGCCCTCTGCCCCACTGCCCTCTGCCCCACTGCCCTCTGCCCCACTGCCCTCTGCCCCACTGCCCTCTGCCCCACTGCCCTCTGCCCCACTGCCCTCTGCCCCACTGCCGTCGGCCCGTATTCTCTCAGGTGTTAGGAATGGACGAGTTGAACAGCTATCTGGGCAAGTACAGCATCATACTGGACCCACACCTTAACACACCCCTCACTCACTCCTTGGCTCACTGCCTATAATCCCTCTACCCCATTCCTATCAGGTGGGGGAACCGATGAGCTGGATATCTACCTGCCCAACTACAGCATCATGCCGCACCCACACCTTTGCACCCCTCACTCCTATCACACACTGCCCTCTGCCCCACTGCCCTCTGCCCCACTGCTCTCTGCCACACTGCCCTCTGCCCCACTGCCCTCTGCCCCACTGCCCTCTGCCCCACTGCCCTCTGCCCCACTGCCCTCTGCCCACCGCCCTCTGCCCCACTGCCCTCTGCCCCACTGCCCTCTGCCCCACTGCCCTCTGCCCTACTGCCCTCTGCCCCACTGCCCTCTGCCCCACTGCCCTCTGCCCCACTGCCCTCTGCCCCACTGCCCTCTGCCCCACTGCCCTCTGCCCCACTGCCCTCTGCCCCACTGCCCTCTGCCCCACTGCCCTCTGCCCCACTGCCCTCTGCCCCACTGCCGTCGGCCCGTATTCTCTCAGGTGTTAGGAATGGACGAGTTGAACAGCTATCTGGGCAAGTACAGCATCATACTGGACCCACACCTTAACACACCCCTCACTCACTCCTTGGCTCACTGCCTATAATCCCTCTACCCCATTCCTATCAGGTGGGGGAACCGATGAGCTGGATATCTACCTGCCCAACTACAGCATCATGCCGCACCCACACCTTTGCACCCCTCACTCCTATCACACACTGCCCTCTGCCCCACTGCCCTCTGCCCCACTGCTCTCTGCCACACTGCCCTCTGCCCCACTGCCCTCTGCCCTGCCCCCACTGCCCTCTGCCCCACTGCCCTCTGCCCCACCGCCCTCTGCCCCACTGCCCTCTGCCCCACTGCCCTCTGCCCCACTGCCCTCTGCCCTACTGCCCTCTGCCCCACTGCCCTCTGCCCCACTGCCCTCTGCCCCACTGCCCTCTGCCCCACTGCCCTCTGCCCCACTGCCCTCTGCCCCACTGCCCTCTGCCCCACTGCCCTCTGCCCCACTGCCCTCTGCCCCACTGCCCTCTGCCCCACTGCCGTCGGCCCGTATTCTCTCAGGTGTTAGGAATGGACGAGTTGAACAGCTATCTGGGCAAGTACAGCATCATACTGGACCCACACCTTAACACACCCCTCACTCACTCCTTGGCTCACTGCCTATAATCCCTCTACCCCATTCCTATCAGGTGGGGGAACCGATGAGCTGGATATCTACCTGCCCAACTACAGCATCATGCCGCACCCACACCTTTGCACCCCTCACTCCTATCACACACTGCCCTCTGCCCCACTGCCCTCTGCCCCACTGCTCTCTGCCCCACTGCCCTCTGCCCCACTGCCCTCTGCCCCACTGCCCTCTGCCCCACTGCCCTCTGCCCCACTGCCCTCTGCCCCACTGCCCTCTGCCCCACTGCCCTCTGCCCCACTGCCCTCTGCCCCACTGCCCTCTGCCCCACTGCCCTCTGCCCCACTGCCCTCTGCCCCACTGCCCTCTGCCCCACTGCCCTCTGCCCCACTGCCCTCTGCCCCACTGCCGTTGGCCCGTATTCTCTCAGGTGTTAGGAATGGACGAGTTGAACAGCTATCTGGGCAAGTACAGCATCATGCTGGACCCGCATCTCAACACACCTACCAATCCTTGTCCTCTGCCCACTGCCCCACTCCCTATCGGCCCTCTGCCCCATGCCTCTCAGGTGCTGGGAACGGATGAGTTGAACAGCTATCTGGGCAAGTACAGCATCATGCTGGACCAACATCTCAACACGCGCGTCCCTTGTATAATTCGACTCTGCCCCCTCTGCCACTATTCTCTGTAGGTGCTGGGAACGGACGAGCTGAACATCTATCTGGGCAAGTACAACATCATGCTGAACCCACACCTTTACACACCCCTCACTCACTCCTTGCTGCTCCACTGCCTGTCATCCCTCTCCCCCACTCCTATCAGGTTCTCGGAACGGAGGAGCTGAACAACTATCTGGGCAAGTACAGGATCATGCTGGACTCACACCCTAACATGTCCCTCACTCATGTCACCTTCCTCTCTTCCCCCACCCCCATGTTTCTCAGGTGCTAGGAACAGACGAGCTGAACAGCTACCTGGGCAAGTACAGCATCATGCTGGATCCGCATCTGGAGGCGCTGGTGGGGCGGCACAGCCGCAAGCCGTGGTCCAAGTTTGTTAACAGCGACAACCAGCACCTTGTATCCCCTGAGGTATGCTGTTTGGGGTCCTTGGGATGTTTGGGGTGTTTGAAATGGGTTTTAAGGCGTCTCAAAGCTGGTGCGGCGGCACCAGCCGCAAGCTGTGGTCCAAATTTGTTATCAGCGACAACCAGCACCTTGTGTCCCGTGAAGTAAGAGGCTTAGGATGAGTTTTGAGGCGTCTCAAAGCTGGTGGGGAGGCACAGCCGTAAGCCGTGGTCCAAGTTCGTCAACAGCGACAACCAGCACCTTGTGTCACCCGAGGTAAGAGATTTGAGAGGTGAGAAGCCACTGGTGGTGGCGTGTAGTTTGTCACTCGGAGCAACTCTGCTGCATGTTGCATGTGCCACTACCCACCAATCTCTGCCTTTCTCCCATCCCCCCATCCCCCCCTGCCTTGTTTCCATCCCCCGCTGCTTTCTCCCTCATCTCCGCCTTTCTCTCTGTCACATGCTCCCATTGCCGCCTGCTGCCGCCCACTCCCTGCAACACGTGGTGGGCAGGCGGTGGACTTTCTGGACAAGCTGCTGCGGTACGACCACCAGGACCGGCTCACAGCCAGAGAGGCCATGGTGGGTGGTGCTCACGGGGTTGATAAGGTATTGATGATGAAGGGCTTTTGAGTTCTGGACAAGCTGCTGCGGTACGACCACCAGGACTGGCTCACAGCACAAGAGGCCATGGTGGGTGCTGCTAATGGGGTGGACTAGGGGTTGGTAAGGGCTTCATAAGGGGTTGGGAAGGGATCGATCAGGAAGGGCAGTTGAGTCCTGGGCTTGCTGCTGCGGTACGACCACCAGGACCGACTCACAGCACGAGAGGCCATGGTGGGTGCTGCTGAGATATTCACTAGGGACGTTAGTGTAAGGGGGTGGATAAGGGTGGGTGGTGGAGGGGTGGTGTGATATGTCTACAGTGGCGATATGGGAGGGTGAAGTAGTGGCCAGGTGGGTGGTGTCGAAGCCATGTTCAGTTGTGTGAGTTGCTAGCGTGGTCTCTTCATGCCGTTTTTTTTTTTTTTTTTTTTTTTTTTTTTTTTTTTTTTTTTTTTTTTTTTTTTTTTTTTTTTTTTTTTCCGCCTTTTTCTTTCTCCATTTTCTTTTATTATTTCTCTCTGGATCTTCATGTGTCATCTCATTTCCATACCCACTTTCTATCGTGTCCTTGTGCAGGCCCATCCGTATTTCTACCCTGTGCGGCAACAGGAGGCACAGGCAGGCAGGCATAACTAGTGGCCCATCGCACGGGATTGCCCACAGCTGGCATGATGCCATGCCATTTGTTGCTCGATAATATCTGTTAAATAAAGATGATAAGGTCACAGTTTGTTTTTGTTTTCTGTATGGCTTTTAAACGCATTTTTAAAAGAGAAGGCGATGCATGCACTGCACCGAGTCACGCGCGCCTCCAGCCCGCCCGCGCACACTCTTCTTTTCCTCCGCCCGCGTATTCCCTTGCACCTGTCGTGAGCTGTTCGGGGATTGGCGGAAACTTCTCGCATCAGTGCTGCATCCGCGCGCGGGTTTCAGTGCTGGAGCTCCTCTTTCCTCCTCCCCCTCCCCCACCCCCTCGCCCCCAACTTCCCAGCTTTTGCTGACCTTCTAGATTCTCCCATACCTTAGTTCAATTTTGTCGAGTTTACAGCACTATCCATATCACTCCTGAGCTAGTTATGGCTGCTCCCGCCACCCCCTTGAGCGCATCGCAGCATCTTTGCCGCCTGAACGTCGCACTTCCGGCCACGGTAGCCCGCGGTAGCGTGCGCGAGCTTAGAGCTGCGCCAGTGTGCGGGAAGGGGCTGAAGGCGAGTGTGCGCGGAAGCGATTGGAGGAAGGCAGCAGCAGCGGGAGGGAGCTCGCGACTGGGGTGCCGTGCGATGGCGAGCGAGGTGAGCGACGGCTGGCGACGACGGCTGTGCTGTGCGACGTGAGCGATTGCGACGATGCATGTAGACGAGTAGTAACAGCGACCCACCATCCTGCCATCCGTGATTTTCGTCTCTCAATCTCCTTGTCATACGTGACTCACCCTCGTGCGCCTCGCGTTTTTCCCGCTCCCGTTCTCCCCGCTCTCCCCGTGCTCGCTGCGCCCTCCCCGTTCTCCTCGTTTTCCGCGCTCCCCGCATTCCCCTCGCTTACGCACTCCCCGCGTTCTCCGCGCTCCGCGATCCTCTGCGCCTTTCATCTCCCCAGGGCGGTTCCGCCACAACGGTTTCGGCGCCATCCGCGGCCACGCAGCTTCCCGACCTCATGGTATGACGTGGAATGCTGGGTTCGACGTGGCACTGATAGGAATGGCGTGTCGATTGGTGATTCCTTTAGCAGCATGACTGTCATGTATGCTCACATCTGAGCCGCAGCAGTGAAAGGCACACTTACTATCTCGCACGGCCCTGACAAGCAGTTTGTGTCAAATGTCTTTTGCTGTGAGAATTCTGAGTAAATTTAGTTTTTTTTTTCCCTTGGAATCCTCAAGAGTACCGCGAGGCGCGTTAGCTGCTGTTCCAACCCAACAAATATGAGCTCTTTCTGAGGCGCCTCAATAGAACGATCTCCATAACCATGGACTGTCGACGCGTTTCTGACCCTCGGTTGTCCTCGCAGACCAAGTTCATGATGGTGGCCATGACCTGCCACAGCTGAGACAAGACAACACCGTTGTGCGCCGCTCCCCATGCCCCTCCTCCCTTCCTTCCCCACTTCCCCTTCCCCCCCGACCCTGTCCCTCCATCTTTGATCCCCTCCTCCCTTCCTAGCCCCCCCTCCTTCCTTGTCCCAATTCGTCTCCTCGCAGGCGGAGTTCATGGTGGTGGGCATGTCGTGCCACAGCTGCATCAAGCACGTTGTGCTCTCCATCCATGCCCCTCCTCCCCTCCTCCCCTCCTCCGCTCCCGTTCCTTCGTCCCCCCCCCCTCCCCTCCCCGTCCCACTCTGCTATGTCGTGCTTCACAGACCGAGTTCATGGTGCACATGAGCTGCCAGAGCTGCGTCAAGAACGCTGTACTCCCCGTGCCTCTCTCTCCTCCTCTCCTCTCATTCCTCCCCTCCTTCCCTTCCCCCTCACTCCCTCATCGCCCGCATCAGACCGAGTTCATGGTGGACGTGAGCTGCCAGAGCTGCGTCAAGACCTTGTGCTCCCCGTGCCCCTCCCCCCTTCTTCACCCCCTTTTCTCTCTTCTTCCCCCCCCTCTCGTCTCCTCACAGACGGAGTTTTCATGGTGGACATGTCGTGCCAGAGTTGCGTCAAGAACGAACGCTGTGCTCCCCACCCATACCTCTCCTCCCTTCCTCCCTTCTTTTCCCTCCTCCCCTCCTTCCCCTTCTCCATCACCCGCATCAGACCGAGTTCATGGTGGACATGTGCTGCCAGAGCTGCGTCAAGAACGTTGTGCTCCCCTTACTTCTCCCTCCTTCCTCCCTTCTCTCCCTCCTTCCTCCCTTCTCTCCCCCCCTCTCCTCCTCCCCCGTGGTCTCTCACAGACCGAGTTCATGGTGGACATGTCGTGCCAGAGCTGCGTCAAGAACGTGCGGGGGAAGCTGGAGCCTCTGGAAGGTGAGTGTGAATCATTGGGATGGGGAGGTGGGCCCCACCTCCCCATGCCTCTCCTCCCTCTGGAAGGTGAGTGTGAACCATTGGGATGGGGAGGTGGGCTGGAAACTCGGAAGGAAGAATGGTATGGCAGGGGTTTTATAAAAACAAGCATGTATACATGATGGGAGTTTTATCTTGGAATAGAATAGCACATAAGCTGAGATATAGTGGAATGGATTAACAGGTGCGCCTCCCTGGAATTGTGTCTCTGGCGCGAGCATATAGATGTGAGATATGGTGTGTCCGCATGGGCCATGGATGCTGCACGTGTGAGGCGTTTCAACAGTACACACGTCCTCGCGACTGCTGCGTGTTTTGCCTTGATATTTGGCCTGCTTTTGCAAGCCCGGAGCTTGAATTTCTGGCCTTGCAGAGGGTGTGTCTGTTGGGTTGCCCCACTCTCGCCCAGCCCACCTTCGTCTTCCGTCCCTTAGGGCGTGTTGCAAGTTAGAAAATCGAGGGATCGTGGCTGTACACCGATCCCTTGTCGGGGATCCTGGGCTCATTGCATTTTCGATCCGCCAAAATATTCTGTACCACGACCACCCAAGGATAGAACCACCTGGAATGGCGACAGTGTGGTTTCGCTTTTTCTAACGCAGAAACATTGAACACCCTGTTCGCCAATGTCTCGTCGAGTTTTTATGCTCATCGCGAAATGGTTTCGTGACTGCGGGATTTTTCATTGTCAATCTCACGATCGGTCTTCATTGCAGAGGCGATTGAGCTGGCTTTCACCAGTTTCCTCGGTCGTACACAGTGCTGACACTGTAGTATGGTAACCATACACTACAATGTTTGACAACAGAGGGGATCGGTTCAAAGAGGCGATCGATTCCATACTTGCACCACGCCCTTACCAGGCAGCAAGGTGGTTGAATCTCGCAGGTGGTGCGATTGCTCGGAAGCGCCACGCTAGCCCGTCCTCCTCCCTCACTCACTCTCTCACACTCCTCACTCCCCTCACTTCCCTCACCCTCTCTCGCCGTTGCTCCCTCTCTCCCTCAGTCCCTCTCCATCTCTCACTAAACGTCAAGTTAGTAGACATCAGTTTTGGAGTCGCAGGTGGTGCGCCTGTTGGGCAGCGCCACGCAAGCCCTCCCTTCGATCCCCTCACTCCCCTCACTCCTCACTCCCCTCACTCCTCTCACTCCCCTCACTCCCCTCACTCCCCTCACTCCCCTCACTCCTCTCACTCCCCTCACTCCCCTCACTCCTCTCACTCCCCTCACTCCCCTCACTCCTCTCACTCCCCTCACTCCCCTCACTCCCCTCACTCCCCCCACTCCCCTCACTCCCCTCGCTCCCCTCACTCCCCTCACTCCCCTCACTCCCCCTCACTCCTCTCACTCCCCTCACTCCCCTCACTCCCCTCACTCCCCTCACTCCCCTCACTCCCCTCACTCCCCCCACTCCCCTCACTCCCCACTCCCCTCACTCCCCTCACTCCCCTCACTCCCCCCACTCCCCTCACTCCCCACTCCCCTCACTCCCCTCACTCCCCTCACTCCCCCCACTCCCCTCACTCCCCTCACTCCCTCTCTCTCCCCGTCTCTCCATCTCAGCAGGCGTCAATGCAGTGGACATCATTCTCGAGTCGCAGATGGTGCGATTGCTGGGGGGTGCCGCACTGGTCGTCCCCTGCCCTCACTCCCCTCATTCCCCCTCTCCCTCACTCTCCTTGTCTCACCAGGCGTCAAGCTGGTGGACATCAGTTTGGAGTCGCAGGTGGTGCGCGTGCTGGGGAGCGCCACGCTAGCCCAGCTGGAGGAGGCGTTGAAGAAAAGCGGCCGCAAGGCCCGTCTGATCGGCCAGGGGGACCCCTCGCGTGAGTGAAGCAAGGTTTAGGATTTAGAGGCGAGTCAAATGCACTCTAGCCCAGCTGGAGGAGGCACTGAAGAAGAGCGGCCGCAAGGCGCGGCTGATCGGCCAGGGCGACCCGTCCCGAGAGTGATTGCTAAGGGATGGTGAAGGTGTGGAGAGCTGTTGCGCGAGTGATTCTCACGGGGCCTTGTTGTTGGGGTGTGCTGCGCTAGTCCAGCTGGAGGAGGCGAGGAGCGGCCGCAAGGCGCGGCTCATCGGCCAGGGCGACCTCTCTCGTGAGTGAAGCAGGGTTTAGGATTTAGAGGCGAGTCAAATGCACACTAGCGCAGCTGGAGGAGGCACTGAAGAAGAGCGGCTGCAAGGCGCGGCTCATTGGGCAGGGGGCCCCCTCTCGTGAGTCAATATAGAGGCATAAATGCTTGAGGTCTTTAAGGTGTAGGTGTGGTGTGGAGGTGTGGAGAGCTGTTGCGGGAGTGATATATCACCAGGCCATGTTGAAAAAGCTCTAGCGCAGCTGAAGAAGAAGTGCAGAAGCAAGTCCCGGCTCATCGGCCATGGGGACCCGTCTCGTGAGTCAATATACATGCATGAAGGCATACCTTGTGAATGAATCTCTTGTGAGTGATTGTGAAGGGCATGGGTGTGCATGTGGGTGGAGGAGAGCTATTGCGCGAGCGGTTCACAGAGGGCCACATCATTGGGTAGTGAGTGCCACACTAGCCCAGTTGGAGGAGAGGAGGCTCTGAAGAAGAGTGGCAGAGAGGCCTGGCTTATTAGGAACGACGACCTCTCACATCGATTTTTTTTTTTTTTTTTTTACACACTATTGGGAGATGAAGACTTCAGTGCACTGTAGCAAGGAGAGTGTGATTCGATTCAAAAGCCTACTGGGAGGTTATTCGACTGCATTGCACCGCACTGCACTGCACTGCACTGAGAGCCCATTGAGTTGGTAAAGATTTCACGTTCCTCTTGCTGTTCCATGCTGGTTCGGCAGGACACTCGTTCTGTTTCTCATTGTTCACTGTACCTGCTCTCGTTCCATCTTGGGACCTTGTTCTGCAGATATGATGGATAATCCATCATAGTTCTGCAGTGCAATGACAATGTATCCTCCCATGCTCTTTCAACCTTTGAGGCGCCTCAAAAGGAGTGCAATGACGATGTATCCTCTCATGTTCTTTCAACCAGGCCCTCCCTCACCTCCCCAACCCGCTCTTCCTTCTTCTCTTCTTTCCCCTCTTCCTCCTTCCTCTTTTCTTTCTGTCCGTCTGTCACTGCTACCCAGAACTGGCTCCCACAATAGCAATGGCGGGGCCAAGCGAAAACAACCCTCTTAAGAATTCTCGCTCATAAGTGGCTTGGGTCGGTCCCATCTTATCTTCTCCTCGTCCTCTCTCCCTTTCTTCCCACTTGTACTCTTTTCCATTCATCCACCTCTCCCTGTTACAACAGAGCTGGCTCTCACAGCAGCAGTGGCGGAGTTCAAGGGGCCAGTGATCCACGGTGTAGTGCGGTTTGCTCAGGTGAGACGGGTTCCGTCTTCTAGCCAGGCTGTGTGAGCCGGCTGAGAGCCTGAGACACTGAGCCGTGTTGGGGGGCTATCTTTGATGAAGGCCAAGGTTGTCTTGACCAAGGTGAGGCCATGCATGTATGCTACGGGACATGTATGCTACGGGACATGTATGCTACGGGACATGTATGCTACGGGACATGTATGCTACGGGACATGTATGCTGCGGGACATGTATGCTACGGGACATGTATGCTACGGGACATGTATGCTACGGGACATGTATGCTACGGGACATGTATGCTACGGGACATGTATGCTACGGGACATGTATGCTACGGGACATGTATGCTGCGGGACATGTATGCTACGGGACATGTATGCTACGGGACATGTATGCTACGGGACATGTATGCTACGGGACATGTATGCTACGGGACATGTATGCTACGGGACATGTATGCTACGGGACATGTATGCTACGGGACATGTATGCTACGGGACATGTATGCTACGGGACATGTATGCTACGGGACATGTATGCTGCGGGACATGTATGCTATGGGACTAACTAGGTAGCTTGACTTGACTGAACACTCTGTGATGTGATATGCGTTTTGTGTGCGGAGGAGCATTGCAGCGTTGCATTCTGAGGGGAAAATTATTGCTGTGGCAGACCCACGTAGTACTGTACTATCTCCGTACTAATAACGCTGCCACCTATTTCTTCCCAGTCTAAACCTATCCAACCCCTCAATCCACCTTCCCACCCACCCACTCTTCCCCCCCCCCCAAAACACCCACCCCTTGCAGGTGAGCATGGAGGAGGTGCGGGTGGAGGCGCAGTTTGACGGCCTCTCCCCCTCCACTGCCCATGCATGGGCTGACAACGAGTATGGGGACCTCATTGCCACGTTCTTTCCTCCCCCTCCTATCCACCCTTTCCCCCCACCCCTCACCCTTCACCAGGTGAGCATGGAGGGGGTGCGGGTGGAGGCGCAGTTTGACGGTTTGTGGGAATTACATCTGCGCCTCTGTCTGTAACACTGCCACTCTTCCCCCTCCTTCCAACCTCCCCCGCTTGCCCCCCACCAGGTGAGCATGGAGGAGGTGCGGGTGGAAGCACAGTGTGATGGTCTCTCCCCCTCCACCGCCCATGCATGGGCTGTCAACCAGAGTGCCACCCAGTGTATGTATGTACCATTGCCTTCCCTCCTTTCCCCCCACCAGGTGAGCATGGAGGAGGTGCGGGTGGAGGCACAATTTGACGGCCTCTCCCCCTCCACTGCCCATGCATGGGCTGTCAACGAGTATGGAGACCTCACGCGCGGCGCTGACAGCACCGGCAGGTGCTATCCAGGGGAGGCGCCATCTGCTGCTGCTGCTGATGGGGTACGTACATTGCAGCAGGAACAATAGTTCAGCTAGTTGTTGGGTGCTTCTTGGGGAAGGCGTCAACTGCCACTGCTACTGATGCTGGGGTACTTTCAGAGTGTGGACTAGTTTCGAGGAGACTCAAAACTAGTGCTGCTGCTGATGGGGTACTGTCAGAGTGTAGACGGACTGTTCAATGCGGTGCCCAGCTGTTGTGGGTCCTGCCCATATACTCTCCTTTTTCTCCTTTCCTCTAATTCCCCCGTTCTTCACCCCTCCCCTTCACAGCCCGCCCGCAGCTTGGGTGTGCTACAGGCAGACTGCAGGGGCCATGCTGCCAATGCAGTGCGCAGCACGCGCCTCAAGGTTCATAGGCTGGGCCGCGGGTCATGTCATGTCATGTCCCCTACCCTCCCTCTACCCTCCCCTCCTTTCCCCACTATCCCTTCACAGCCCGCGGGTGACTTGGGAGTTCTGAACGCGGACGACGAGGGCCATGCGTCCTACGCAGCCCCCAGCACGCGCCTCAAGGTGTGGGACCTCATCGGGCGGGCCGTGGCGGTGTATGAAGGGGCTGACAGGAGCAACAGCAAGGGGCTGGCAGCAGCTGTGATTGCGCGCAGTGCAGGTGTAGGGCAGAACTACAAGTCGCTGTGCTCCTGCGATGGCACCATTATTTGGGAGGCCACCCCCAGTGACTATGTGCAGCAGAAGTAGGTGTAGGTGTGAGTATGGTGTGAGTGAGGGGGAAGAGAGGGGCTGGCAGCAGCAGTGATTGCGCTCAGTGCAGGTGGTAGGGCAGAACTACAATTCGCGGTGCTCCTGTGATGGCACCATCATCTGGGTGGCCACTCCCAGCTACTATGTTCAGCAGAAGTACCGTAAGCCCCCGGATAGAAGCACAGGCCTCTACAATATCGATTCGATTCACGTCGCAAGGACGAGATGAACACTTGGACGAGTAAAAAAACTAAATTTCATATATGTCATTATATAAGCCCCGGCGCTTATAAAAATCCTCAATTATAAGCCCACCCCCTAAAAAACAGTATTGTGAAAGCTTGCTTTCTGCAACTTGTAAAGGCATCGTGCTTCATTTCATATGGGTATGAGTACATCAATCTCGTCCAATGATAACTACGATTACAGCAAGAATCTTAGAGACAATGACTACCTGGGTGGGTGGGTGGGAAACTCAAACTTCGAAATTGAAAAGAAGAACGTGGGTGAGGCCGAATGGCCTCAACCCCCTCTTTTGTAGCCAAAAGAGGGCGAGTAGCGATGCGACGCTGCCTTTGCTGCGTTGGCAATCGCTACACTTTCACAATACACAATTTTGAAAAGTGTTACACACTTCTAAAATTTTACATATTGTGAAAGCTTGCTTTCTGCAACTTGTAAAGGCATCGTGCTTCATTTCATATGGGCCTTCTGAGACAAGCGAGTGGTCGGTCGGCGATGCCGCTGGATAGACAATTGGTGCTGGTTCGGGGAGGGAACCTGAATCAGCTGGGAGGCAGCCACAAGCTGGTCGTGTGCGATGGTGACGTAGAGGTCTTTTGCGTTGTCGCTGCGCCAACGGCCCAACCGCTTGAACATCCTATCGGAGACTCCGATGCCTGCCGCCGTCGTTGCTGCTCCTTTGCGGAAGGAGTGCGTGCCAAGGTGGTTGGCGTTGAGGCCAACCTTTTTGAATGCTTCCAAGCACCAATTGCGAACAGTTGGGTACGAAGGCGCGTGGTCGTGCGGAGTTGCTTTGGAGTCACGTGTGAACACCCGTATCAGTGGTCCTTTGGTCGAGGCGTCATAGCCGGCAAGCGAGATGAACTGTCTGGTGATATTTACTGGGCAATATGGTCCAGGTGTAGTCGCGATTGGGACCCATATTCCCTTGCCTTCTTGGTCCGTTTTGGAGTGGGGAATCAATAGCCACATCGCCGCCTCCTCGAACTGGATGTCTTGCCACTGAATTGCGACGAGGTCCGAGAAGCGGAGAAAGCCCGTGTACATGAGCAGTGGGATGAGGCCTTTCTGGAATACGGAGGGAATGTCGGATGCGATGAACTCGTGTGTCATCTGGTGAACCTGGTGAAGAGACACGGGTTCTTTAGTCCTGTTTGGGCGCGGGGAGTGGCGTTGGCGAATTCTCGGACCTGGGAAGTGAAGGGGCCGTTCGTGGGACAAGTAAGGCCAGTCATCTTGTGTGCGAATGCGACTGCCGAACAGGTCAGCGTGATGGCGGACAGGGTGGCGTGCTTGTTGAGGGCGTATACCAGGTACAGCGCGAGTGTCAAGTCTGTGGCGGGTAGGTAGCTCAGTGATAGCTTGTTACAGAATGATCGGAATTTTCCCCAGTAGGGGTCGTAGGTGCGGATTGTTGAAGGAGCTCGTACTTGGCTGATTACCGAGAGGAGTTGCTTTTGAAGGTTGGATAATATATCTGCCATACATGGAATATATATGAGTTACATTGTAAAGTCAATGGACAATGCAATAATCAGGCTATTGGGAAATCCAGTGCCTGAGAATGCGGCAGTGTGTGTGCCTGGTTGGAGGCACTGACTCCCGCTTGCGAGGCGAAGGTGGCTAGTAATTCCTATGGCCCATGTTTGAGGGGCCGGTTGCACTAGGGGCCACCAGGCTGCCCCTGACCACTCAGGGATCACCAGGGTTAGCTTTGCCCGTGTGCGACGCGCGTGATGGAGAGTTGCAGGGACGAGGTGGGGGGGCGGAAATGCGAAGCCCCGTTCCCCGTGCCAATCCTTGGAGAATGCGTTGATGGCCTCGGCTCGCGGGTGAGGGACTTTAGAGAAGAAACGAGCCAGCAATGCGTTCTGTGCATTTGCGAACAGGTCGACGGAGTGAGGCCCCCACCGACGGTCCAAGAGACGAAACCAAGGTTGTTTCAACGTGTAGTCATCGTGGTCTTGCAGCTTTGAGAGCTCGTCCGCGCAAGTGTTCTGATCTCTGGGAATCCATTCGATGGCTAGACGCACCGCGTTGTCCGTGCATAGAGTGATGATCTCTTTGCAAGTGAGCGTGAGCTCATTATTGCGCGAGCCGCCTTTTCGTAGGATGAACATGACCCCTTGGTTGTCCACGCGAACCAACGTGTGGCCGTGTCGAAGACGGTCCATGAAGGTGCGTAGCGCCCAGAGCACGCCTTCCAACTCGCGTCGTGTACTTGAGGTTGGCCACAGGTTGTCGGGCATGCCAGCGCTTGCGTTGCTCGGTGTTCCGTGAAAAGTAGAGAGGGTGGCACCCCAGCTGTGCGCGCTGGCATCCACCTGGATGATGGCGTCGTAGTGATGCGGATGATGGAATGGTGCACCGTTGAAACGGTCGAACTGTTCCACCCAGAAGTGAAGTTCGTGGATGGCCTCAGTTGACAACGACACCTTCGAGTGCCATGAGGGCGCGTTGTTGATAAGTTGCAATAGCTCGTGGCTGAAGGCTCGCGCGGTTGCGCCCAATGCGAGGCTCATGGAAGCAAGCATTCCAGTCACTCGAGCAATTTGACGAACGTTCACGTGGTGACCAGCGCGTCCGGAATCGATGAGACTTGTGATTGTCGCTCGTAACAGGGAGCGCCGTTCTTCTCCGACCGAGAATTTGCCGACTTGTGTGTTCAATTCGAGTCCGAGGAAGCGAAGCTCCTGTGTGGGGACCAGACGCGACTTTTTCTCGTTGATTACAATGCCGGCGTCCCTCAGGTCTCTGACGATCTGTGCGCATGCGGCTCCCGCTTGTTGTGCGGTCTCTGCCAGGATCAGTATATCATCCACATACGGGATAACCCGCCACCCGAGAGATCGCCATCGTCGGGCCAGCTGTTTGATGAGTTGCGTGAAGATGAAAGGGGCCGTGGCCAGACCGAATGGCAGGGATTGGAAGAAGTAGTAGTTGCCTTCGAACTGGAATCCTAAGTACTTCCAGCAGGTGGGATGGATGTCTACGTGATGATACCCTGACTTGAGATCAACTGATAACATCCAATCGTTCGGTTGGATCAACTCCGCTACCCGGGCGAGGCCTTCGTACTTGAATTTCGGAATGCACAAGTGCTCGTTGACCTTCCGCAAGTCGAGGATGAGCCGACATTTTTCTCGTTGTTCGACCACGTTGAGTGGGCTAATGCATAGTAGTGTTGATCGGTCAGGAGCTTTTGCCGCTGCTCCTGTTCGCAGGAGGTCCTGAATGGCATCGTGTGTGAAATCCGAATGCGTCTGGGCGCCTGAGTGGTTTTTCCTTTCGAAAGGTGTCGGGGGCCCATCCTTCCATGGGAACCAATATCCGTGTGAGATAATAGACAGGATGAGACTACTATCGCACCAGGAGCGCCACCATTGTATGAGAAGAAACAAGGAATGAATGAACTATGAATGAATTGGGTACAAGTACTAACCCTAATTGGGTTGTACCCCTTATGGGTTACCCCACTATAGCCTACACAATATGCATGAGCTATAATATTCTGACACACCCCCATAGGCAAAGTGGGGGAGAACAAGGGGTCACAAGACCAGTCAAGCAAAGTAAAGCAAAGCAAGCTCAGGGTGGATCACAAAGTCACCACACATTCCGAGCACAAGTTCAAGGCCACAAGGCCAGTTCACATGCAGGAGTACATATATATATAAAGGCTAGACAAGCAAGAGCAGGTATATATATATGTAACAGCACAAGCAAGGTCAAGAGGTGAGCAAGTGAGGCAAGGTAGGCACAAGGCCCAGCTGAGTACAGAAGCGCTGATGGTCACAAGGCGCAAGCGCCTTGGTGAAGATATCAGCAGTGTTGGCCTCAGAGGCCACGTACGCAAGACGCAGCTGACCACGCTGCTGCAGCTCACGAGCAAGAAAGTAGCGGAGAGCAATGTGCTTCGTTCTGTGCTCCAGTCGCTGCTCCCGACACAAGGCCAGCATGGCCTTGTTGTCTACGTACAGCACTGGAGGAGAACGAGGCAGCTCTCCGAGGTCAGTCAGCAGGTAGGTGAGCCAGCGAAGCTCCTGTGCAGCCATGGCTCCTGCGTAGATCTCAGCCTCACAACTGGAGCCGAGAACAGAAGACGAGCGGGTAGCCCGCCACGAATTAGAGCCGGAACCAAGGCTGAAGGTGTAACCCTGTGACGACCGCTGCGTAGCCTGGTCGTCAGCCCAAGAAGCGTCTGCGTGCCCAGTAAGGACCACTGGACTCTGCCCTCCAAGCACAAGCCCCATGCCCGACGTACTGCACAAGTAGCGCAACACCCTCTTCGCTGCAGCCATGTGCTCCGGTCTGTGTCTCCCAGGAGCAACATAGCGTGCAAGAATGCTAAGAGGGTATGCAAGGTCAGGTCGTGTGCAGGTCATCAGGTACATGAGGCAGCCAACAAGCTCTGGGTACGGGCCACTCGACTCTACGGACTCATCCGAAGGCAGAGCTAAGAGCGAGTGGCGAGTAGGCAGAGGAGTGGCCTGAGGCGAGGAGTACGTGAAGCCGAAGCGCTGAAGGACCTGCTGCACCATGTGTGACTGAGTCAGGGTAATGGTGCGGCGTGCTCTGTCCCGAGTGATCTGCAAGCCAAGGTAGCTGCGCAGTTCACCCAGGTCAGTGCACGTGTGTCTCTTCTGCAGCTCGGACTTCACGTGGGCTAGTCCAGCAGTGTCAGCTGTGGCAAAGACCAAGTCGTCGACGTACACGAGGATGTAGAACGGCGGCAAAGAAGTGTCGGTGCGCAG